CATCCGAAACAAGAACATTTTTACACGATTCAAATTTATCTTCCTCCCGTCTCCCTGGATTTTTAACTGTTTCTCAAAGTGTGCTGGTTTGTGGATGACAGAGTTATCCTCCACTTAAGACAAAGATAAAGCCCAAGATACTTCAGACTAACCCAGCTCCATCAGGACCCAAAGGGAGTATTTATGCCTTTATCATGTTATCTAGGCCATATTCTTGATAACTTCATATGTCAGAATAGAGAGAATATGAGCCCCAAGCCACAATGAAAGTTTTCAATCAAATGCCTGACCATTTTTCTTAAACAATTAGTAAATTTATTGAGGTAAGGCTATAGAACAAATTATCTTTAGAAAAAAAAAAAAAAAAAACAGAAAAAAATTCCAAGTTCTCCTAAACACTATACTGTGCCTATACTATAACAAAGGGTCACCTATACTGTATACAAATCACACATTCAACAATTTTTGATTTATTATTTACACAAATGATTAAACACAGTAGCAGAAATATTGCTGCACAGATGATATTTGATAATTTGATTTTTATTTCAGTGCTAATAATTGTATAGAATTTTAAAACAAGGTATGTCTGTCTTAAAACATCTTATCCAAACTTCAAGCTTTTACTAATGAAGAAACTTAAGCTCAGAAGAAATCTCTAGGTAACTCATGTTAAGACAGAAGAGAACTCCAGCTAGTTTCAAAATTACCACAGTACCCCTTTCTCTTTTCAGTTTATGACTACTTCAATACATATATTATTCTTTCTATAAAATCAAATTTTTTACTAACTGGCTTCCCACTCAAATTCAAAGGTGGTAGATTTGACCCACCAAATCTATGAAAGGCAGTAAGGTTAGCTAATTGTTGAAAAAAGCATAAAATAACTAATTAAATATAACTGCTTAAAGTACATAACTTGGACAATAAAAGATGAAAGGTTAAAAATACTCATACACAAGAAAAATGTACATAATATAGTAGTATATGCATAAAACAATGTAAACTACACTTTATCAGGGTTCTCAGATACGATTTCTACTTATTTTTTTAATACCACTATGAAGCAGTATTTCAGAAAATTTCTATTGATAGACATGACGTTAAGAAGAAATAGTGGAATGGTCCTCTATAGTTCTATTCAATGACAACTGTCAACAAAAGGTACAAATTAAAATATATATACATTAGAACCTCACCATAAACTGTACTAAAGGTCACTACTATACAATCTTGTAGTGAAATTTTTCTCATACTATACAAAAATACTATTGGATAAATCCAAGACAATGGATTCTAAATTTTAATCTAGAGAAATACAGGACAATGATGATGATATTCCATATTATACAGAACCAAGAATTAAATAGAAAAACTGCATTTTATTAATATCACATAAGCAAATTTCCTAATGAAATTGAAGTACACCGGTATTATACAAGTCTAAAATACCTGACAGTTAAACCAGGAATCATAGAATATGATGTTATTTACTTGTATCAAAGAAAAGAAACAAAGAGCCCCTGGTTCATCACAAACTTGCACATGAACATGAGGATTAAGAAAAAACAATTTTTCTACAATTATTTTAAAAGTCCTCTATCCCATAATACATTAAATCTGCCTATTACTTACTGATTAAGAACTACTGCTAAAGTGAACAGAATGTTCTAGACTATATAATATTTAAGGTAAAAATCTATTTCCTAATTTTTCATTTACTTTTTCATATATCATATTAACTATGCATTAACAATTGGTAATTTACTCTTTCTAACTGTGAGGATCAAACCTGAACAAGAATATTAGTTACATGCTTCCCCGGTCAGCACTTTAAGTTTAGAAACATAGAACAGCTTAGAAATACCTTCAGAATGCTTCATTCATTCATGCATTCAATAAAATTTAAATCACCACCATCTAAGCAAAAAAAAGGTGAATATGACTCAGACTTTGTTCTTCAGGGTTAAAGGGCACAAAGAACAGATACATGTATGCCAAGTCATTATAATAAAATGTGACAAGTGCTATAGTTAATAAAGATATATTACTAAATAAACTTAGAAGTAGCAACAATGCTCTCTCTGGAGGCCTATCATTCAGGCATCCAATTTATCAGAACTCATCCAAGTAAAGCAATTTCTGAACTCCAGAAAACAGATTCTTAATTTCTCAGGAAAGGTGTCTTTTACCTTAGCATCTATTATCAAAATGTTTTAATATTCAAATGAATATTGTTGTTTGTGGACTACATCAATCTGCAAACAGGGAAACCACTGCCTGCCTTCACCCCTTCTGAAGATACTTCAGCCCTGACATCTACAAATTTTCCCTCAAGACTCCTAACTGGGGCCTCCCCTGGTGGAGCACACGGTTAAGCACGGTGCTTTGAAGGTGTCCGCAGCCTCTGCAGTGCGAATTCAATCCCGAATTCAATCCCGGCCAGCCGATGAGGGTCCCACATGGCAAGGCAGACCTCTCCTGTCTGGCCCACTGCTCCCCTCAGCACTGTATTCTGTCAGTTTGCCTGTTCTGTTCCCCACTCTGTCTCTGGTGAATCCTCTGACCCTCCCGCACATCTGGCCTATACCCCGGTTTTTGTGTAAATGAATAAATAAGTCTTAAAAGGAAAAAAAAGACTCCTAACTGGACTTGAGATTTGCTTCTAACCTCTTTTTCTTTTGTTTCCATAGAAATGCCTCAATCTTTGCACAATGTAGTTGACTATGAAACACCACCACCCCCGGCCACAGGACTGCCAACAGAACTTAGAATACAACTGTTTAATTGAATTTAGCTATTCTCAGGAATGGGATTAGTGCTATGAAATAATTGAAGAACTTAATTTCTGAATTTTGGGACTTCTTGAGAAGTTCCAAAGGCAGGGCTCTAGGGGAACAAAAATCTGCCCCCACAAAGTATGTCTTTTTGGCAAAGTTTAGTTTCATAAGCCGAGGCACTCTGAAGGCTGGATGGAAGTTGCTTTTGATATTTATATGTATATATCTCTCCTGAAAACACTTAATCTCTTCCCTAGAGAAGGCAGAAGTTAAATCTGCATACCTCTGTCTAATGATAAACTCTCTAAGTAATCTTTACCATTTTTCCCCAACCTCCCAGTCTCAGCTAAGTCATTTAAGATGGAATCTGAAACCACGTGAGTGACTCAGTCATGCTAGGAGTCATACAGGAAGTACACATGTTAATATTAAACTCCTTAATTTTTTATCTCTTGTAAACTTCACACATAAAAAGAAAGAGGGAACAAATCAAATGCAAATGATACAGATGAGTAATTTAAAAGTCCAGAGGAGGGTGTGTAGATAAACCTTCAAGGAAGCAGAACTTGAATTATACATTAAAAGATAATCAGCGCTTATTTAAGATAAATGACAGAGGGAATAAACTGTACATGATATATTCAGCAATCAGAAGATCACACGGGGTGAAACAATGTTTTAAAGTGGAATAAAATAAGTTTAGAATAGTATGTTAGAATTAATTTACAGAGAATCTTAATAGCCAAATTAAGAAATCTAGCCAACAATCTTTAATTGAACAGCAATACGCTGACCTGAAAAAAGGAGCATTTAAAGAAGAGTCATATTGTAGCAGTACATAGGATAGCTTTAATGATAAAGTGGAAGCTGGAAAATATAGGTGGTGAATAATAAATCAAGATTACACCACCAGAAAGAGTACAAAAGGAACAGATTTCCCAATTAACAGCCATCAAGAGAGAAGGTCTAATAAAGAATATTCAAAGATTTTATACCTAATTACCCTTAATAGACAGAAAAAAATATGGAGTTTGAATCAGCCAGGTCTGGGTCAAATCTGTGCTGTGTAACTTTAAAGATGTTAGTTAACTTCTCTGACCCTTATTTTCATCCGATATAAAAAGATATTTACCTTCTTTGGGTATTGAGAAGATTAAATAAGAAAATGCAGATAAAGTATCTATGCACCTGGACCATAACAAGGACCAAATGAAAGTAATTTTCAGCTCTCTCTTAACTCCCTTTTCTTTTCTTTTTTCCCTTTATTCCTGTCTAACAATTTTTGAGAATTACAGCAGGTAATCTGTCTATAAAGTTGTCATTTTGAGCTGACTAAACTGAGCTAATGAGAAATTAAATGATTTATTAAATGACATACGAGTATGACTTTCACTGTGACAGAACACAAATATATTGACCATAAAAGCACATAGGGATAGTAGGCAACTATCAACATAGAATCTTCTTTAAAGACATATCTTCCAATAATGCAATAGAGGATCTGACTCATAAACTTAAAAACATTTAAACATGACCGTTCCTTAATGTAAAAAGGCAATTCATTTTAAAAAGAAATATTTAAATGTATATACCAAATTCTGATGAAGAATGGGAAGATTCAAATGGGAAGATTCTTGTCCACTAGACAAGGAAAATTAAGGGTATAAATTTCTTTTAACTTAGATTGAACACAGGTTGTTGTAGAGCAACCCCGATACAAAACGGGGTGCCTGACTGTGGGTCCTCACCCGCGCGCTTAAAAGGACTTATCAATGCTCTACTGCAGGCACACGTGAAAGGTTAATAAAAGGTTTATTTACAACGGAAAGGGAAATGAGGAAATGTACAGCTCTGGGAGAAAAGTGGGAGACAAAGTTTTAAATGCGTCCTACCCGATCCGCCGATCAGGAATCCCCAAAATGGCGCTCTCAGAGTTGGCCGCCAGCCAGGAGCGGTGAAGCCAGGAGGCGAGCGATCGCGAGCCAGAGAGCGAGCAAGGCCCACGTGTTTGGTTTTTATATCCAACCTGGCTGCCCAACTCCACCCTCAGGTCCCAGCCACCCTCCCCTTGGTGGTGATGGGATTTGTCTTTCCCAATGTCCTGATGGCTTTAGTCTGGAGTGGGGGTGGAGTCCACAAAGCCTGTATGAGATTATCTCAGGACATCCTTTCCCCCTAACAAGGTGAACGTCAGACACAGTCAGCAATAAATTTACTTACCTTCCATGGGCATGGAAATCTAGACGTAAAAACTGGTCCTCATGGGAAATTGCTCTTTTGGCACGCTGGTGTTTTTGGTGTAATGAACTCACATCATATGACAAGCCTTCATAATGTCTAATGTATTTATTTAAAGGATTTCCATATTGACCTATAAAATATAAACAGTTTAAATTAGTATCATCTTTAACGCCCACTTTAGTTCTAAGATATTCATGATTAATCAAATATCTACAAATACGTATGAAACAATTAGTTCCCTAATCAAAGCTTTATTTTTGCACTTTTTAAAAAAAGTTTTATAATGGGAATGTCATCCATACTTTTGTAAGGGAAGTTATTACCTCCTTCTCAATTTTATGGACAAATCTATGTAGCGTTTATATTATTTCCTCACAGGTAACTGGGAAAGGCTAACTACAATTTCAGTTTCATATAAAGAACTATTCGTATTATCTACTTCTTGAGTGAGCTTTGGTAGGAATTTATCCATTTCACCCAACTAGGAGATAAAGTCATCAAATAGTCCCTTATTTATGTGTTTTATCTTTTGAGTCTGTAGTGATATTACCTAATTCCTGATAATGGTAATCTATATCTTTTCTTTTTGGTTCTTGATCAGGATAACTAGAGATTTATCCATTTATCTTCTCAAAGAACCAACTTTTTTCCTCTGTGTTCTCTACCTCTTACTCTCTCAAAGCGAGCAAAGAATTATTGGAGATCATTAAGAAACATTAATGATAAAAGGTGGTTATGGAAGGAACACCTAGAATCATGTCACAGTCAGGCAAGAACAATGTGCCTCCTCTTTGTGATTTCCAGTGTTCAAGTTCAGCAGAAGCTCCCTAGTAAAAATTATAATAATAATGATCACTGAAAGTATAACCTTAAGAAACAACTTGTCTTCCCTTTTATTATCCTTTATTGGTTTTGTTTTCTCTTTACTGACTTTTACTTTGATTTTTATTATTTCTTCTATTCTGCTTAGAGTTTACATTTTTTAAGCTGTATAAGTGAAGTCACTGAAGACCTTCTTTTCTAATCCAGTGGTTTAGTGCTACAAGTGTCTTAACACTGCTTTTATGCGCATCCCACAGATTTCATGGCATTCAGTGTATTTTCTCATTTCCATCTTGATTTGTTCTATGATCCACATGCTATTCAGAAGTCCATTTAGTTTACAAATACTGAGAATTTTCAGTTACCTGTTAAAAATACTTCTTATTTAACTCCACTATCACCAAAGAACATAGTTTGAATAACATCAAATCTTTTAAATATATGACCAAGAATAAAGTCTATCTTTACAAATGTTTCATGACCACTTGAATGTGTATTTTGTTATCAATGGATGAGTGTTCTATAAATGTCAATCTCTCCTCTTATTGAGTTGAGAAGTCTATAAATATCAACCAGGCCAACTTTGTTAATGGTTGTAAAGAGAAAACTTCCAGTTTTTCCTTCCTATACTGAGAAAAATCCAGTTTTTCTCTACTTTTTTTCTGTGTGTTGCATTCCATTTTACACAGAACACTACACTTCTCAGTCCACACTGAGTGACTGTCCAGAAACAAGCTGCTGTCCTAGAATGTGACTCAATTCTAATCTACCAGAAGATAGCATCAGATAACACAGGTTGAGTTCAGTCCTCATTCTGTCTCTGGTGAAACTTCTCATCCCTCTCCCCACACCCCCTCCCAACTCTTACACCCCAGTTCTTGTATGCATAAATGAAAATAAATCTTTTTTAAAAAAGTGTATCTTTCAAAGAGATTTAAATAACACGAAAAAAATATTTCCAGGGTTCTTCATTCCTTTTCATGGATCCAAATTTCCAACTGCTATAATATTCCTTCTCTCTGGATGACTTCCTTTAACATTTCTTCTGCTGGTTAAGAACTCTTCCAGCTTTTTTGTATGTCTGAAAGTCTTTGTCTTCTAGTTGAAAAATATTTTAATTGGGCATAGAATTCAAGGCTAACAGGATTGTATTTTTTCTTTAAATACTTTAAAAATATTGCTGTTCCACCATGCTTTCATTTGTATTCCTCTGACAAGAAATCAGCTGTCATTTTTCTTTGTGTCCATGAATTTAACTATTTTTTACTTCCCTGGTTGCTTTTAAGATTTCCCTTGTTATCATTAGCTTAGCACAACTCGATTGTGATGTGCTCTGGTTTCCATATATTTCTTTAGCTTTAGTTTCAGTGAACTTCTTGGATCTGTGGGTTTATAATGTTTCAACCATTATTTCTAAAAAAAAAATATATTTTCACTCTGCCCAACACTGCTCAAGAATTCCAATTAAAAAAACCAAGTCACTCAAACTTTTTCCACAGTCCACTGATGGTCATTTCATATTTATTTAAAATTCTTTTTCTGTTTCATTTTAAATAGTTTTTATTGCATTGTCTTCAACTTCACAAATATTCTGCAATATCTAATTCTGCCACTGCCCTTCAGTGTGCTTTCTACTGAAAACATAATTTTCACATCTAGAAGGTAGATTTGTTTCTATTTTACATCTCATCTCTACTTAAACATATGAAATAGTTATAGTAATTCTATTAATGTTTTATCTTCTAGTACATCTGTCAGTTCTAAGTTGGTTCCAATTGGTTTCTTATTCTCACTTGAGTTATGTTTTACTGCTTCATTGCATGCCTTGCTCTTTCAGGGAATGGATAACATACATTGTGACAATCTTTTGAATTTACTCAATATTCTCAGGCTTTGTAACAGGACAAAGTAAATTATTTAGAAACAGTCTGATCCCTTTGGGTCTTGCTTTCATGATGTTAGGCCAGTCTGGAGCAGTGCTCAATGTAAGGCAAATTATTTCCCATTATTGAGGTAAGACCAGTAAGCAAAACTCTACCCACTGCTCCACAAATTATGAGTTTTTCCTGCCTGACCAGTGAAAACAGGAACTATTTCCATCCCTATGTGAACACGGGGTATGGTTCTTTTCCCTAGTCTGAGCTAGTTTTCTCATGTGTATCACTGATAAATATTCTGCTGAACACACCGGGGAAACACCATTCAGATCTCAGGGATTCTCTACTCTGCAGTGTTTATCAATGACATTCTTTCTGTGAACACTAGCAGGTTTGGCCCATTTTGATCCTCAGGTCCATCTCTTCAACTCAGAGACTCTGTTGTCCTCCACCTAGCATCCCTCACATAGCACTGCAATTAAATTCTCTCAGTGCAGAGAGCTGCAACAATTAGAGGTCTGTCTTACCTCATCTGTTTCCCCCCTCTCAGGATGATTAACCTTCACTGCCTAGACTAGTGTCTTTTTTATATTTTTCTATATTCTATTTTCATTCATTTAAAATTATATTATCTCTTGAAATAATGTTGGTTTTCAACGATGTCTATGATTTAGGGGTACAGGTTCACGTTGCTTCACATATATGTTACCATAACACACCCACCACTAAAGCACCAATAACCTCCACCATAGTGTACTGGAGCCTCTCCCTCTGCTCTCTGTCCGACCCTCCCCTCCCCCAGTAGCCTCAAACTTGCAGTCAACTTTCTAGGGTTTGCTTTGTTTTAGTTTTGTTCCCTTGTTTCTTTATATTCCACATATCAGTGAGATGATCCAATATGTGTCTTTCTCCTAATAAATTATTTTGTTAAGCATAATGCCTCCAGGTCCATCCAAGTTGTCACAAATGACAAGATTTCACCTTTTTTTAAATAGCTAAGTAGTATTCCATTGTGTATATGTACATTTTTAGCCACTTATCTGTTGATGATTAGTGTCTTAAAAACCATTGTTTCTCTTTTTTCTAGTTTTCTTAGAATGTTTTAACAAGAGAATAAATCTGTTCATGATTTCCCTATCTTTACCATGAGCCAAAATAAAAAACAGTAATGCCTTAACAAATTAAGTAAAATTTCTTCCAAGAGAAAACTGTGCTTTAATAAAACAAAACACCAAGTCTAAACCAAAAAGCAGTAACAATTTGCCTAGTGTACAGCATAAAGTCGAAGTGTTCCATCACAAAATTTTCTATTTTGTAGTAAGTAACTTGTCACTATATGGTGAAGGGTAAAAAGTCTTAAATCATCTGAGCTTAAGTTCTAGAGATTGCTAAGACTAGTGAACTGAATAGAAATGGTTAAGATAATAAATTTCATGGGTTTTTTTAATTTTTTTACCCCAATGAAAATTGTATCAGTTTGTTTCCCTGGTCAAATGGAAAACCCAGCTTCAGTTTCTCCTCCATAAACGCATAGAAGTAGAATAATTCTCTTTTGAGGATATTACCCATAGTGAACTATTTAAACCACGTGTGGCAATTTGCAAAGTAAAAGCTTTGCACACAGTAAAAGCTCAATAAAATATTCCTTATTATCATCATTATCATCATCTCTTCCCCACCCCGCCTCTTCATTTTCCTCCTCCTCCCATAAATGCCTTTGAAATCTATATACACAAATTTATTTTTTTAAAGATTTATTTATTTATGCAAACAAGAACTGGGGTACAGGACAGAGGTGTGGGGGGTGAGAGGATTCACCAGAGACAGAGTAGAGAGCAGAACAGGCAGACTGACTGAAATACACTGCTGAGGGGAGCAGTGGGAGAGACAAGAGAGGTCTGCTGTGCCATGTGGGTAGCTCCCTGGCCAGGGATCAAACTTGTGCCACAGTGGCTACAGATAGGTTCATAGGTTGTATCTTAACCCCTTGTGCCACCAGGGCAGCCCCTATATACACAAATTTAGGCCATAAACTTAGGAATAAAGACTGAATTGAATTTGAACTCCAATATTTCTAGTCATTCCCACATGAACTGGAAATTCCTTTACTTTTTTAAAATCTTAGGATTTTTCATCTATAAGATGAAGATATCAGTGCTCACTTCAGCAGCACATATACTAAAATTGGAAAGATACAGAGAAGATTAGCATGGCCCCTGCACAAGGATGACATGCAAATTTGTGAAGCGTTATATATTTTTAAACAAAGAAAATAATCCAGTCAAAAAATGGGCAGAAGAGTTAAAAAGAAACTTCTCCAAAGAGGAAATGCAAATGGCCAACAGGCATATGAAAAAATGTTCAACATCACTTGTAATCAGGGAAATGCAAATCAAAACTACCATGAGATACCATCTTACACCAGTGAGAA